GGGGGGGGCTGTTTAAATTTCAGAATTTGTCGAACGATGAGGAAATTCTGGGTAGAAATTTTTCGGACAAAGAGAAAATATTTCCCGATGCTATTTTCTCCAATCAGTTATTATTCTCAAGTTTTAATTAAATGGGATTTATTATATCATTTATTGAATTGTGTAGGTAATGAGTGATTTTGAAGGAAAAGTTTTGGAATTGTTTGTGGAAATTTTGAGAGGGAAGAAAGAAATGTCGGAATGATTTTTTTGTAGGAAATTACGAAGCTATTTCAAGGGATAACTTTTGTTTTTCAATTTTTTTTTTGGGGGTCTAAGATATTTTAACATCACGTCAAGCAATGATTCTCGAAATTTATGAGTGTATAATAAAACGAAATGATACAACTGAACATTTTGAAAGAACGCTTTTTATTTATTAATAGTCGGAAATTAAACTGATATCAAGAAAATAATAAATTAATATTCCACCGGATTGAATGAACCGCCATTTCTCAGGGGAGTGACTGTCAGATTAATATTAAACAATTAAACTATCAAGAGAATTATACAACACAATTTTTATGCGGTTGGACTCATCGCCAAAAATTAATTAAAAAGGTTCTTTCGAAGTCTTCAATTTTTTCAATTTTTCTTTTCATTGTCGCTCCGTATTTTTTCAGACTACTACATGATATAAAATTTTTCAAAAACTATAAATAACTTTTGCAAGTAAATACAAATAAGCCTGAATATTAATTATTTCGATGACAATGAATAGTTTAATTTATAGTAACGCATTTTTAGTTAAGATTTGAGAAAAAAAAACTATAAAAAGAGTTTCGTCAATTTGACTTTCAACCATTTTATAATTCTTTTGAAAATTCTAAATTTCATCTAATCCTTCCATCGTCTGAGTAATATGTAGCTTCAGAACAAAAAAGTCTCGACATTTCTTTCTGGGAATTTCTGGAAATTTCTGGGAATTCATTAAGCAACAAAAAAAATTGTTTCACTTTTCCACAAAAATCACGTGTTACCGGGATAAGTTTATAATTACTGAGTGATGGTTTTGTCCTCGACAAAGACTTGATTAGCCTCGTTATTTGTTGAATTAATTCGATACAATGAACACCAGATAAACGCATAACATCGTATCATTCCGCCCCAGAATCCAATTTTAATACTGAGAATATGAATTTTTGACTAAAATTTTAAATATATGTTTTAATCCTTTATATTATTGATGATTAATCATATATGTTTACGTAATTGTCATCACGCACCTGCCATCACTAATAATTTGTATAAAGTTGAAGTATGAAATGAAATAGAGACTGGGGATTCGAGTCCACCATGTTTTCTAGTTTATCCCCCATACTTTAGTCCTCAACGCCAAATTTCTAATAAAAAAATACAATTCAAAGATTTATCCGAAAAGAGTAATGGAATGCATAACTGCCGTTATTATTAGGTGAATTAATGTAACGAATGCGTAAGGAATGAATTTGTAATAAATCTATCTGGATGAATAAATTTCATGTTTTTTTATAAATCAATGGATTTATTACGAAGATTTTTTTTTGGGATTAATTTCAGGATATGCCAATGCTAAAATTTATAAATGCGATAACGAGAAGTGTCCGAGGCCTGCATGCTACATTTCTGGGGGATCAAGCAAGGATGACTCGTTTCCGTGTCTGCGACCTATTTGTTCAGGAAGATTTCAGCTGGAGAGACACGTATCTTTCGTGGATTGTCCTGGTCACGATATTCTTATGGCCACTATGCTGAACGGCGCCGCTGTTATGGATGCAGCATTGCTTCTGATTGGTAACAACAATTATATTCTAATATCTCTTCATATTTACCACTTTTGATTATTTGTTCGATTTAAGGACCGGTTGGATTATCTGGAAAAGATCATTTACTCCAAAATTGGGATTCCTAATTACTCTGGCAATTAATCGTTTTTTTTTTTCAATAATTGTTAGCTAGCGTTCTAGCGGTTGTCAACGACTAGAACGCTAGCTAACAATTATCGGAAAAAACAATTAATTGGCGGAGTAATTAGGAATCCCAATTTTGGAGTAAATTATCTTTCCGAGATACTCCATCCCGCCCTTAACAATATTTTTTGTCCCTCAGCTTTTGGTTTTTAACGGAAGATTTTAAAGCGTCTGATTCCTCGGTTGATTGTTCTAGTAAATGAAAAATACTATTTTGATAATAATAACTTAAATATTGAATCGACGCGCCTGAATCTCATGAATGAATAAAATAATTAATTCCAAATTGAAGATCGCTGGAGGTAACATTTAAACAAATATTTTTTAAAATGCAACTGAAAGAATATAAAGTAGTTTTAAATAAACTAAAATTTTAAATAGACTTTTTTTTTAAATAAACTACTTTTTTGAGTTATCGAAAATATTAATTTGTAAAAAAAATCACAAATACCCAAAAATCGTATTGAATACTTTTGGAAACGTATTTTACGATTTCTCAAATTACTCATTACGCTGTCAATTAGCGTGAATTATTTTATTTTAGCTTTAATTTTTTTTGGGTAGAGAATATTTGACATGAGTATTGTATTTTTTTTTCCAGCTGGAAATGAATCATGCCCGCAGCCTCAAACATCGGAGCACTTGGCGGCAATTGAGATCATGAAGCTCAAACACATTGTTATCCTGCAAAATAAAATTGATTTAGTGAAGGAGGGACAGGCAAAAGAGCAATACGAGCAGATTCTCAAATTTGTGCAAGGTCAGTTATTATCATAACTAATTCCTTGGCGTAATTATAGATCTAATCCATTTCAAGCCATTCAACCTGTCCCAAAATCCGGAAATGATCAGTTACAAATAATTTTTTTGTTATGCTACTCCACACTTTGTAAACAATTGTAAAAATATATCCAGAAGTTTGAATAAGTCATCCTTCTGATGAAAGTAACACAGATGATGACCATATTGTCATTATTTGATGGGGAATGAGACAAAAAATGATGGGGTCGTTACATCTATTTTGAAATTGTGCAACAGGAACGGTTGCTGAAGGAGCTCCAGTAATTCCAATATCTGCTCAACTGAAGTACAACATTGAGGTACTCTGCGAGTACATCACCACTAAAATTCCGGTCCCAATGAGAGACTTCACCTCCGAGCCTAGACTAATCGTTATTCGATCATTCGATGTCAACAAGCCTGGATGCGAAGTTGATGATCTGAAGGGAGGTGTTGCCGGTGGAAGTATTCTGAAAGGAGTTCTCAAGGTAATTCACTTGATTCCCCTCCGATACACTGTGTGTAAAGTGACATTTTACGCATCCCCAAAATTCCACTTACCACTTCCCACATATTACGACAAATTTTGTCACATACCCGCGGCTAGTGTCTTCAAAATCTGCATGATAAAAACTTGAAGAATACTTCACACAATTTTATGCAAATTTTTATATATAATATATATAAATTCTTCTGTGTGTATGATCAATTAATTCAGTAATCACAATATTTTCTATTAATGATTCTTAAACTGTTTAGGTCGGCATGGAAATTGAAGTGCGGCCAGGTCTCGTCTCTAAAGATGGTGAAGGAAAATTGACCTGTCGTCCAATTTATTCACGTGTCGTATCACTTTGTGCTGAACAGAATGAACTGCAGTTCGCTGTCCCGGGTGGTTTAATTGGTGAGTCTCACATAATTTTCCAAACTATAAAAGCCAATCGGAATCAATAAATTCATTTCGATCATTTCAGATATAATTTTGATTCTTTTCTGTAAATCTATAACAGAGTTGAATACATTTTGCTCGCTAATCATAATTAATTAATTAATTAATGACTAATTAGTTGATACTGTGTCTTTGATGCCATAGGTGTTGGAACAAAGATTGAACCAACACTTTGTCGAGCCGATCGTCTTGTTGGGCAAATTCTTGGGGCTGTAGGCGCTCTTCCTAAGATCTTCACTGAACTTGAGATATCGTATTATCTCCTGAAGCGACTGCTGGGAGTGAGAACAGAGGGAGACAAGAAAGGGGCTAAGGTAAACGCTTGAATAATTATTGATTCAACCATGTAAATATTCAATAGTAACACCACTAGTGCAGAAAAATAATCGGATATATTAGAACAGCCTTGTTCGCTTCGTTCGTAGAAAAATCTCTTGTGCTTTACACTCGGAATTTTTTATCAGCGCAATTTGACGCCTTTAATCTCCGAAATGCGACATCAATTACACGTCAAATTAGTCGTTCTTCGGTAGAGAAGCTTGAGGAAAATATCTGATTAATTTCGAAGCTCGAGTCATATTCGGGGATTATTTTTTTCACTCAAATTTCAGCCGATGGAATTGCACAATTGGTGCGATGCCATTTGTTGATGTTAGAGTTGTAAGAATAATCTCCATCTTCTCTTTGTATTAAAAAAAAAAATGTTACCGTGATGATTTGATACTGACTAAATTCAGTCCTCTTACATTTTCTGAATAAACTTCCTCGGTGTTAATGACGCAGATTTTGATGAAATATTGTTTAAACTTTGTTTAGGTTCCGAAGTTATCGAAGAATGAAGTTCTGTTGGTGAATATCGGATCGTTGAGCACTGGAGGTCGTGTACTGGCTACGAAGGCCGATCTGGCTAAAATCAGTCTCACCAATCCTGTTTGCACGGAGATAGACGAGAAAATTGCGCTCTCCCGACGTGTCGAGAAACATTGGCGTTTAATTGGATGGGGTCAGATTCGCGGAGGTGAAACGATCGAGCCCGTCATCGATCGCAAATAGATTTAAATAAATAAATTATTGTTTTTCATTTTACTTACAATTATTTACCATCTAATTGTATTTGTACGTGAAGCAATAATTGGCTCGTTGAACGTATCACGAAGGTTCTGTACAAGTGATTTAATAATAAACTCGTACGCCTTTTCTGCGGAAAGACTACAAATTATTATTGTTGCTATTTTTATTTATTCCATGACCCAACAGCACAAGACCAATGACTTCAAATTAAATATCGGAGTTATGAGATACTTTTATGATAATTATGAATTTTTAAATTTCAGTGAATACCTCCTCTATTGTCATGTTCCCCTGATACTTTTTCAAAAATTTCGAATTTTCACATTTGAGTGAATACCTCCTCCATTGTCATGCTCCCCTGAAACTTTTTCAAAAATTTCGAATTTTTCAATTTCAGTGAATACCTCCTCCATTGTCATGCTCTCCTGATACTTTTTCAAAAATTATGAATTTTTAAATTGCAGTGAATACCTCCTCGGATCTCCTGTTCTCCTGATACATTTTCGAAAATGTTTAATTTTCAAATTTCAGTGAATACCTCCGCGATGTTCATGCTCTCCTGCTGCTTTTTCAAAAATTTTGAATTTTCAAATTTCAGCGAATACCTCCTCCATTGTCATGTTCCCCTGATACTTTTTCAAAAATTTCGAATTTTCACATTTCAGTGAATGCCTCCTTTATTTTCATGCTCCCCTGATACTTTTTCGCAAATTTTGAATTTTAAAATTTCAGTGAATATCTCTTCGAGGTTCATGTTCTCCTGATACTTTTTCAAAAATTTTGAATTTTCAAATTTCAGTGAATACCTCCTCAATTGTCATGCTCTCCTGATACTTTTTCGAAAATTTTTAATTCTCAAATTTCAGTGAATACCTCCGCGATGTTCATGCTCTCCTGATACTTTTTCAAAAATGTTGAATTTTTAAATTTCAGTGAATACCTGCTCGATTTTCATGCTTCCCTGATACTTTTTCAAAAATTGTGAATTTTTCAACTTCAGTGAACACCTCCTCAATTGTCATGCTCCCCTGAAACTTTTTCAAAAATTTCGAATTTTTCAATTTCAGTGAATACCTCCTCCATTGTCATGCTCTCCTGATACTTTTTCGAAAATTTTGAATTTTTAAATTGCAGTGAATACCTCCTGGGATCTCCTGTTCTCCTGATACATTTTCGAAAATTTTTAATTTTCAAATTTCAATGAATACCTCCTCAATTGTCATGCTCTCCTGCTACTTTTTCAAAAATTTTGAATTTTCAAATTTCAGTGAATACCTCCTCAATTGTCATGCTCTCCTGCTACTTTTTCAAAAATTTTGATTTTTCAAATTTCAGTGAATACCTCCTCAATTGTCATGCTCTCCTGCTACTTTTTCAAAAATTTTGAATTTCCAAATGTCAGTGAATACCCGCTTGATTTTTATGCTCCCCTGATACTTTTTCAAAAATTTCGAATTTTTCAATTTCAGTGAATACCAATTTCGTAACGCAAAAAATAACATTCACCCCGTCGACTAATCCCTCTGACAGTGGGACTGCTACTGAGGCAGTTACCGCGTCGACTGACCGACAGACACCCCCACTGCATGTCGCACCCTCTCTCCCTTAGGATGAGGTACTACGATGCCCATGGGGTCACTCAAACCCCCAGAACTGACCCTCTACTTTAGTCAATCCTCTCTGGTTGGAGCTTTAGGCACTGACAAAAATCTCGGAACTAAATAAATTCTCTTTACATACAGTTCAATTACTTTTTTGAACTCCATCAGGCGCGTCAAATGCTCATCATTCATCAGCTTATTAGTTCGATATTCATCGTAACAATATAATCTAGAATGGTATATTTTCCATGCTCTCCAAATTCCTGTGAGAGACTTTCCAAAAAATAATGTGTTTCTCATTTTTTCCAAATTGTTATCTAATAATTACATTGATTTTTTCAGAAAGTATGGAATTTGCGCGTATGGAAAATTAATTCTCCATGATTTAATAGTTTTCTGTAGGCCACTCTCTCCGAAAACGCAAAATATCCTCGCCATGTATATTATTCCTAGGAATTCATCCGCTCCCCGAAGTTGGATCAATCATTTTTGCAATAATAAAATTCCATCGCGTTATTTAACGTGTGCAATTCCTGTGCCGAATGGTATGAAGCCAGAAATATGAATTATTAATATATTCCCAACTGCAAATAGTAATTTTGAAATATTTTTACGGAAGTACTGAAACTTGAAAATCCATACCGAATCTCCAGGCGTCCACTTTTTCACTGGTTAATTGCGGTATTTAACAGGTAATTATTCAAGATTCTTCTTTCTGAATTCTAGAATCGGAAAATTATAACTTGCATATCAATGAAATGTAGACAGCCTATGATTATTTCTAAAAAATAAATGAAATTGATTAACAAAAAAAGGATAGGTTTAAAGATTAAATATTTTCTGCGATTTGTTGAACAGAGAAAATACATCTGAAATGTGAAAACTAGAATATCCAAAATTAATCGAACTATAAATGCAAATTGTTTAACGGACGAATAGGAAAATATGAAAATGAAAAGAAAACCTGTCGAGATCACCTGAAAAATGCAATTTCTATTTATTATATTTATTAAATAACGACAAATCGCAAAAATGTTTTATTTTTTAACGTCAATCCCACAGTACGTTCATGAAAAAAAATGAAAAATGGAAAAAAATGAAAAAACCAAAATTTTGGTTTTATATGGGTCTAGAAAACTTCATGGCTCCACGAATTTTCAACTTGAAGAGTTCTATTTGATCTGAAAATGTTTAAACTTTTCCCAACAATCCGCCCGATGCACCTGAACCCCATATCACTAACAAGGAAACTTTTCCCATTACTTAAAAAAATTGAGATTTTATTCGAGTGATTAAAGAGTTTCTGAGACACGAATTAAGGAAGTGGGACCTGATCAGGCTTGTGCTGAGTGGTTGTTGAGAAATGGAGCCTCTGTTAAGTGGACAGACGGTCGTGCTTACCTTAAAGACTACACTGCTCTTCTCCAGAGGACAAAGGTCGACAAGTCCTCTTACATCCAAGGGGTTGATGCCACCGATTCAGCGATTAGTCACGAAGGCTTTCCACATTTTGGTAATTTCTTCACTTGAAGTATCAGAACAACCAGTGATTATAATTTATGCTCTAATGTTCCAATGATTTTCAGCTGGATGTAAATATATCGAAGAGATCAAACTCATTAATTGTATGTATGTTGGGAATAACAGCCTGAATTTATTACATCTGCTAAAAGACTCTTTACGATATCTCGAGATTTCTAACTGTGGAAATGTCACCGACAGGGGACTCGAGCATTTGAAAATTTTACAGTGAGTTTTTGGAAAAATGAGATTGAGTAAAATATTTGAGATTTTCTCTTGTGTGGTTCTTGTTTTAGAAAATTGAAGGTGTTGAAGCTTTCGGATCTTCCAGGAGTTGAAAATGGCACAGTAGTCACTGAAGACTTGAAGAAATCTCTTCCAAATTGTCAAATTGATTTTAAAAGGAGTTCTTAAATTTTTTACAGTCTTCAGTCTCTAAATGTTACACTGGTGAATTCAATTGAATTTATAATTCTTCTTTTTTGCGAAAAAGATTATTTTCTTCGTCGACTATTCCTAATGACTATCCCCTTTCATTTACAGACGCAAATACTGAGGATTAAGTGAAAAATTCGTGAGAAATAAACGAAAAATATAAAATATTACAGCGGCGTTTTATGATTTTAGAAGAGAAATTTATGAGTTTAGAAAAAAAAATATTCAAACGACGTTGATATATTTTCTTAGCTCCAAAAGATTATTCTTGAAATTTCTTGAACTACGGACATCAAGAAAATTACTTTGAACGATAAATACCAGATGATTAAGAAGTTTATTTGTCAATTTCCCCTTGCCCTTGAAAAACGGAAAATCGGGAAAAATCGAATGGTCCAGCAGTAAAATGGAATGCGACTGATGACCCATTTATGGCGACCGAAAAAAATTATCCTAAGAGAAACTCCTCAAATAACCACAATGAACATATTCCATGAATATTCCCTAGGATAAAGCCCTCTTCATCGTGAGAAAATTCTACATTTTGCATTTACTATTTACGAATAATTGCGCCAATTAAAAAATAATAAAAATTGATGAATTAAAGAAGAGGATAATCCAGTGCCTTTCGCTTAAGGTGGTTGTCGCGCGACAGTCTCTGTAAAAAGTTTATCCGCTGTAAAACGGGCCAGTTTAGAACACAATCTTTTAGCGGTATATAGTCTCACTTGATTGATTGCATTGTGCATGGATAGCTAAAGCATAACTATATATTTTCCATATTAACTATTTTCAATTATATAAATTTATGAATTTCCGATAATTATATTCCGTAAACCAAACGGTCAATCGATTTGATTTTTTTTTCTGTATTTCCTCCCACGATGTATATTCCACGTTTTTTTTTTATTTCTGAAACTGTCGAGCCGTTGATTTTTAAAAAATTCTAATCGGCAAAACTCCATTTAAACACGTGTTAAATCACTCGAATTTCAAAAATTTATATCTCAAGTTCAAAACGGTCAATTGCAAACGGAAAAGGCTCATTTTGTTGCTAATTTTTCAAACTATTCACCATAAAATTTTTAACGAAAACTGTCGAAAAAAAATTCTACGCGACAACAACCTTAGATGAAAATTCACGGAAGACACATTCTTTCCTTCTGGAAAGAGTTCACCCTAAAAAATAACCACCCCATCCCTCAGATAAATCGATCCTGAATAAATATTCCATGAATTTTTTTGTAGAATAAAAAATTGTCTATAATTGTGAAAATTGACACGTTTTCACGTTATCCACCTTACCCTATTGACCTAAATTTTAAATTTTCATAATCCATTTTACGAACGCATGCGCGACAGTGGCATAATAACGGTATACACACCCTGAAATCGACCTGCCAACAACCCCACCATTATCACCGACAATTTCTATATTTCATCCATTCACGACACGTTTAATTATCACAAATAAAACTCATCGATTATCTTCTAAAAATTGCCTAAAGATTACCTAAAATTGCCTAGAGTAAATAACGATATCGCGAATAAAAAAAAATAATGTACCTTCTTCGTGTTCATAGAAACAACAGATTTTTCAATATTTGTGACCTAAAAATGAGGATACATTTATTTAGTCTTTTATGATCAATGCGATGTAGGTCACCAGAAATACAAGTTCTTCTTCAGTTTATTTCTCCACCGCTTCTCTCAGTATCTTCTTTCAATATTAAATAATAAGTGACTGAAGAAGTTCTTCCATCCTTTGTTTATCTTTTTTCTTTTGTTTAAATTTAATTATATATAATATATATTACATATATATTATGACTGAACCACCGACACGTCTGATGTTTTTTTTTTTATGCAACTTCAATTATTTACTCCAATTTATTCATCTTTTGTTTGAGTGGTTTACCCCTTCTAAATCGTTTCGGTGTAATTATCATATTGTTCTTGAGTGATGTCCTTTAATCATTGTTTGAGTACCATTGTACGAATCACACGTCATTAACGCCAGTGTTAATTAGCTCACAGAAAATTCTCTTCACCCTTGTGTTCATAAACTGACACTCATCCCTGGAAGTGTCCTTGATAGTTCCATCAACGAAATTATTATTCTACATTTCCCTTTCCCTTCAATTTTTCATATTCCTTTCATCTCATTCGTGATTCTAGCAAAGTGGTGTCGACGTTTTTCTTTTTTTTATTTTATTTTATCAATTAATTTTCTTTGTTTTCCTCAAATACAATTATCTTTTTTTTCACCCTTTGAAGCCAGGAAATAAATAACAAGAAGGCAGAGGCTTGCGAGAAAGATAGAAAGTTTTTTTTTACTTTTTAATTTTTTAATTTTTTTTTTGGTGTTTTCATTTATTTGACTTATTTTCTCGTTTTTTTTTTTTTCGATAGTAGGAATGTCGAGGTCTAGACGTTTTTCTTCACTTGATTTTCTTTAGAATTTGATTTAATAGAATATTATTAAATATTGTTAAACTGCACAAAAATTTCGAATAAATTTTACCATGTAATTATGGAAATGATAATTGTTTTTTCATTGATTGAAAAGACGAAGGCAAAATAAGTAGATGAAAAATAAACAAGAATTAAACAAATGCCAATGAGGAAAGAACATGTCTCACGTCCCTCGTTTAAAGGCTTTACGGTATCATTACAGTTTCATTGATGTTTTTTGTTCTTCCAATTGGTTTCTTTTTTCCACTTTTCTTTTTTTTATAGATTATTCTTGTGCATTACTTAGATAAATTGAATTATGGCTTGCTAGACAATTTTTTGTTGTTTTCTTCTTTCCTTTACTTTACTAGTAATGAGACATTGAGGGGGTGAGGAGATCCCGACGCAGTTTTAAGACATTAATAAACCCACTTAAATAGACATAATGTTATTTTTTTGCTTTTTTTTCCATTTGTTGTTTCATTTTTCAACTACGAAAAAACAAGCTATGACTCCATTTAAAACGGAATTTTTTCTTCGCTTCTCATCTTGGAATTTAATTGAAATTCTTAATGATTTATATCGATATTCATGTATTTTTTCATCATTTTTCGTGTATGTGTGTTTTTTTTTATAATGTAATACAAGTGTAAGTTTAAACTTGTAATTAATGGAGGATCGAGCACAGTGCTCTCTTGATACATGTAACAATGAGCATAAAGTATTTTTTTTTTTATTTTTTTATAATTGGTTTTGGTTTTTTAATAATAGGTTTTTTCATTAATTTTAAAAGAAGGGGTGTGTGTTAAATTGTGTATTTGTGTATGAGTGTACATGTATAATGCGTCTGTTTTCGTGTTAATCATCTTTTTCTAATTTTAATTTAGTTTACACATATATTTTTTTCTTAAAAAAATGTACACTTGGAACAAAATTTGATGAACCCACAGCCGATGACGACTCCGTGGTATTTTCCTTTTTTTTTTTATTCTTTAACTAACATTAAATTTAGCAACGAACTTTTATTTTCTTCATTATTCTTATTTCTTTATTACTGTTTTTTTTTTTCTTCTGAAAAAGGTGCATCAAACTTTATTCACGGAAAAGCTCATTCGAGTCATACTTTCTGTTATTTCATTTTTTTTTTGTTGATTTAAAAAGCGCATGAAGAATTTTTCTATTATTAAAAAGAATATAGTAATTAATTCACATGATTTTCGGAGGCGGATGGAAGCAAAAGGGGGAGGAGGGGAGATAGAAACAAAGGAAAATTATTATTTAAATTATCACGTTAAGGATGAAGGATTGTTTTCCTCTCTCTTCGATTAACCGCGACTTTTCCGTGCATACACCTTAAATTTTCTTCATAATATTAATAATTTTTTTTTCATCAAAATGATGTACTTTTTTTTTTGTTTCATCATTTTGCTTTATCTTCACTCACCGATTGGTGTTCGTACATTATGCAAACGTGGCAAACACACATTGTATTCTGTTATCTCTTTTTGTTTTTTATTATTTATTTTTCACCATTCAAGGGAACAGCATAAACGATGATAACTTAATCAAATAATTAGAAAAAGGGTTGTATATGTGTGTGTGTATGTGTGTATGTGGGGAGGGTATGTGTGAGAGAGAAAGAGAGATAGATAGATAGACTGAAAAAAAAAAAAAAGTTGAAAAAGCCTCTGTCCCTAAAATTTATTGATGATAAATATTCAAGACAAAAAAAATATGAAATAATTTTTCAATTGAAAAAAGGAAATAAAACAAATAATTAAATATCACCAGGTCTGCTGTCCTCTTGATAAGTAATAAGGGCTCTCAATTATTTTTTTTTTGTTTCCTTTTTTTTTTTAGACTTCTTTACATCCTGGTACAAGGTTGATTTCGTAAATTCACTTTTTGTGTTGTTTATTTGAATTTTTTTTAGTACGTCAACACCACTCCAAGTCGCGAGTTTTCCCAGCACACAGGTTGTATTCACTTTGATGTCATCATTGTGACAAATTCTGAAAAAAAAAGCGTAAAAAAAAAAAATTAAAACTGCACTTCTAAATCATTCATTAGTTTTTTTTTTCGTGGGCGATTACATCATGAAATAGTCGAATGAAAATGATGTCACGAGACTTTAAACACAGGTCAGCTTCAATTAAATTGTTAATTATGTTCAAATTAATTGTCTCAACTGAATAATGGATGACAATTGAAGTGAATTGATGGGATTCAATTACGCATTATCATTTCAGTTCCCACATCTTCCTTTTCATCCCTAATTTTAATCTCTCCGATCGAATATCTACCTTCATAATTAACTTGGCCATCTCCATCGATATCAGCCTCTCGAATCATCTCATCTACCTCCTCATCGGTAAGTTTCTCCCCCAAATTTGTCATAACGTGTCTGAGCTCTGCTGCTGATATAAAACCATTGCCATCTTTATCGAACACCCTGAATGCCTCTCTGATTTCCTCCTCACTGTCGGTATCCTTCATTTTGCGTGCCATCATTGTCAGGAATTCAGGGAAATCGATGGTTCCATTGCCTACGAAATAACATTTCCCCCAAGGAGAAAAAAAAAAAATAAAAAATTATCAAACTCGTCCCAAAACTTTGATCACCCCAGCCCCTCATCAGACTCTTACCATCAGCATCTACTTCATTAATCATATCCTGCAACTCAGCCTCTGTTGGATTTTGACCAAGTGAACGCATCACAGTTCCCAACTCTTTGGTTGTGATGGTGCCATCACCGTCTTTATCAAAGAGCGAAAATGCTTCTTTGAACTCGGCAATTTGTTCTTCTGTCAGTTGATCAGCCTGAAAAAATAATCATAGAAATTAATCTAGTAGATATCACTCTCAAGAAAAAGAAAAAAAAAAGTCAAAATAATCTATACAACTGAAATTTTTCAGCCCACAATTATCCTCAATTCATCGTCTTTATCACGATTTTGTCTGATACCTGCGACAATTCTCTATCTTCTTCGATAATCTACAGATACCGTGATAACGATCCACTCTGCGCTATTTTTCTCCCATCATTACACATTGATAACCCTCCCTCTCCCCCGCCAATCGCCAAATTAAATAATTAATGATGTAAACTTATTGCAAGCTAATGGTAAGCGCCACGCCCATCCATACAAAATTAACTCCACGTGAATTAATTATCATATGACTAACGGCCCTAACTGCTGTCATCTCATCCCAACCCCTAGTTAAAGTTCCAAAAATCGTTCCAACGAATAGTTCTAAAAATAATAAAACGCCAGACTCAAAAAAAATCTAAAAACACGCAAAAATAAAATCCTCATTTCATCCCCTCACGACCCTAAATTATCATCAATCAATTGAATTTCACAATCAATTTTCCCACCAAAATCCAAATAAACTATTTAAATAATCTCCTTGAAAACAAAATCACGATAAATGCACTTAAAACGTCGGCGTCACCTGGATATCCAGGGATTCCGTTTGACCTGAGGGGGTTTAGGGTGAATCCACTTATAAAAATCGACATTGCACCATGAAGAGTTGCAACCCCGTCGAAAGCACCCCCACATACCTCAAAAAATAATAAAAAAATAACCCATTCAACAAACAATAAAATTCCCCAACTGCTAAATAATCCACCCCTAACCCACCCAGACAAACAATAACCAGGATTAACCTGTGACCCAGCCTACACAATACCCACCATTTTTGCGTGCTCTTAATCACCAATATCCTAAATATTTACACCGACAGCAAAATGATCAGTGCTCAATAAATTTTATAAAAAAAAAAAACCAACATGAGTCGTAGAGGGATATCGTAACTGTTCGACGTGTCACCGACGACTAATTCTATTGCACTAAAAAAATCTCCCTTAAGCAGGGATATAACGAAAGAATAAGGGGTAGGGGAGGGGAAAAAAAAGGTTGCTTAGACCCCCCGACGAATGCGGTGAGGGGGTAGGAAAGATAGTGGTTAAAGCAGGGGCTGCACGGAGGCACCTACTGCGAAAATCAATAGTGTGGTATATAGTACAATGGCTGATTGGCGAATGCCGCAACGCGCTACGATCATACCCTCCCCCCCATCCTACCCCCTTCTTCAACCCCCTCACCCTCTCCCTTTCGCCCCTTTCTCCTTTTTATCCCCCATCGCCCCTTTCACCCCCTCAAACCCCTCCCGCACCATTCTTCTTCACTCACCCTTACTTTATTTCCCTCGTCTGATTCCTGTTTCACATCTGTCTCATCATCCCTTAACCCTTAGGTACTAAAAAGTGTACAAAACACTGGGCAATGAGAGTTAGTTTATTGATATCTACCCCTCGAGGTGGACACACACTATTAATAATGAAAGTGTAGGGAATAATTGGTGTAATGGTTTCTCTCAGCACAATATTTCATGATTTCCGTGTTAGTGTTTTTACTTTATTTCGTTTGGTTGTTTCCTTGATTATCTCACTCTCTATGTCTGACACATTTTAAACGGAACCTCTTGAGCTGGCCTGCGTTCCAAATGACCTTGGCACAATGGTAGTACACTGTAGTCTTGATACCCGAAAAATGTGCGCAATAACAATTTTCATTTTGTCGTTAGTCGGGGTGATGTGAAAATGTTGTAGCAATCGATACTCTTGTAGATGATACGAGGAAAAATAGGTCTTCAAGGTGAATTCAAAATACAATTATCCGTGCAATTATCCAGGGTAATGTTATTGAGAGATTGAGAGATTGAGGTGTTGTAGATGAGAGGAATGAAGAGGAACAGTGAATCATCATCCAAATATTCGCATGACGCCTTTTGACTCATGGAGAACAAGTGCAAATGAAGTAATGTTTGAATATATTTATTGAGGGGGGGGGGGGGCTTTTGGTACAACTGCCTGTCTGCAAATGGACTTTCAGTTTTTTTTTTTCTCTCTCTCAATACGATGGAATGCCGGTTACCGGTCGTCAACTGACAACCGCGATGGCGGTCTACCGTTCATTATTGCCAACGTGGAGCCATCAAATCCCTCCAATTATTTCTACCCAACTCCAAATGATAATCAATGAAACCCGAATTTTTTTACCTTTTTCCAATAATTTATCCCCCTTTTTCTAGGTGAAAAATTCCGACATTTTGGAGTGACGGCAAACACCGATCGATGCTGCGCGAGCATGTATGCGTATTTGCCCCTCTTCCACTTTTCCCTCACCCCAAAAATGACTATGGGTGTGCGCAGGGGTAAAGAGGGTGTGTTAACACTCCCATGTATTATCGTTATAATTTTCATAACGATAATGAAACAATTGATTTTTCACTGATATTAACCGGTAAGTAAACTATACGAAAAAACAATACCAGACAAAAAAAAACCCCACAATTTTTTCATCCAATATTTTAATATAAATATAACGAATAAAATGAGAAAAAAAAATAAGTGTAAACGGTCGATACATAAAGAGGCAAAAATAGACATGCGGATCGATTTTAGCTCTGCCCCATTTTCCCCCCGGAAAAATTGGACAGAAAATCAGCCGAATTTTTCCCTTCTGGGAAATTCTCTGGATGTTCAATAACTACCCCCTCCCCCCCTCTCTCTCTCTCTCCCCCACCCCCTCACCTAGTCCAATAGAGGTGGAGTGAATTGAATCAACAAATATAGATATTTGTGAGAATTTGATCCTGATTTTACAGGGTACATGATAAACTCGATGAAAATACTGTAATGGCTCGAGATAACCGGCGCACGTTGAGAGTCATTCTCCCACCGATCATGAAATCTGTTTAGAAAAATACACTATTTGATCCACGTGTACGCAGGCGTTGCGTCCATTCCCAAGATTAATACGAAATGAAAGAAAAAAGAAAAACATAATGCGAAGATATTGGATGAATCGTCACTGACACCATCAATATCAAATAATGATTGATTACCATTGACAGATAATTTTTTGGTTATAAAATGATGAGTAATGTATGTATGAAGAGACTCACCATTTTGGCTTTACAATAGTTATTCTCCTACTGAAAACCCACGGGTTGTTCTTTCTCGGAAAGCTGAGGTGGGGCGTCAAGGGGGCTGATCAGGTAGGACTCCGAATCAAGTTTACCACTTTAAATCCACCGAAAAATGATAATTCCAAGGAAACTCCCTCTTCTGACGACAATCAGATGAAAATATCTCCCAAGAAGTTCGATACGTCCTCTCAAAGCAGCTCAGCAATTGACAATATTATTTAATATCGACGATACTACAAACCGATAGACGTGAAAAATCCGTCGGCTTTTTTTCTTCTTCGATATCAATCGTCAAACGTCGGCGAAAGCGCTTGAACGGCAAATAAAAATCGTGTAATACGTCGTTGCTAAAACGGTATTACTAACATCGATATTAACTGTATTGATATTAATATCAGTGTTTTATTATATTTTTCTATTTACTTAACAAATGAAATGAAGAAAAATAACCGAACTGATGGCTAAAATTTTGTTCTTTATCTTTTTTTTCTCGTTTCTTTCGCTTTTTTTTTTTTTTCAGTCGTTATATCCGGCCGACGGGAAACGCACTCAGAACAGCAATGGAGGACTCCTGTTGACCGTACGATGCTCGGTGGTATCACTACGCCGCAGGCACACCACCAGGGACACCAGAACCTCTGGTTTTTATTGTGTTAGTGTTGGATGGTGTATGCGCAGTTGTAGCGAATGGAGTTTTGCGCATCGGGGATACACAACTCTGATAGCACCATTGTGTGTGTATTGGTGAGTTATGAGAGAGATGGATCTATAATGATGATGGGGATGAGGAAGAGAGATGTGTTTGTATGCTCGGGCCAATGGCGATGGTAAACTATTAAGGGGTTAGAGGAGGAATCGCCGTGGATGGTGCGGAGGGGAGGCAGCTCGAGGGGCGCGTCGCGCACTTCCTCCGCGACGCTAAGCTAGCGCTTTTTTCCCACCTCTAATCTTTAAAATTTAGGGAATTTCTCTTTATAACATTGCATATCAGCTCTTCAAAATAATAACAATCTAATTATTTTATTTTTCATCTCATTTCCTGTCATCTCATCTGTCTATTATGATAATGATTCCGATGAATTTGGATTTTGAAAATTTGTCAATTTGGAAATTCGGGGAAGTTTTTTGTGGGGTGAGTTTTGGGCGGGGATTTTCAAATTTTTGAAAATATCGATTTAGGTTATTGGGGTATTGAATTTTGGGGGTGAATTTTGTCTGGGTTTTCTTTTTTTTTTCGTGGAATTTTCAAATGAAAATGTGTGGCTTGACTCGGGGTGCGGTTCTTGTTTACTAGACGGGTCCGGGCGAACTAAGCAAGACTCGTGATTGGCCGTCGCGCACCTGCAATGCGTCAGACGCGCGGCCACCGCCGCCGTTGACGCTGTAACGCGTTATACACCAGGGGGTCCTCGATTCTCTGCACAACGCGCTAAAACGACGCGACTTGCGCCAGCGCTGTTAAAGGCTAAACCCGCCTTTTTACCTATGTAGCCAGAGAGACTCCGATCGCATCTGCCGCCGGCTAAACTCCACGGATCAAAGACAACCTGAAGAAGCCCTTCCTCCCTCATCCAAACAATATCCCCAAGTATATTATTCTATATATCATCGATATATACTCACTCATATTCACTTATACTCACTCATATTCAGGTATATATTAACCGAAATATTTTTATCGAAAATCCTACATGTCATGCCAGTATATACAGTATACCCCATATATATATTATATATCAAAATATATGTGAGTTATATTCAAATATATATTGCATATATTTATTATGATAAATATAATTTCGAAATAAAAAATGTTGCTTAGTTATAATTTTTCCATTATATACTTTTTCAGGTCGGAAATATATCGCGGTTATATTCCCGGGTGAAGATGCGGTTGGCGAGATATATTTTAGGTACAAGTGTACGTATACTTTTCTGTTACGCACGGGATTTTCATCCCTTTTTCTTTTTTTCCGTCTCTTTCGTCATTATTTTCACTTTTTTAACGCGAAATTATACATTATTATTAAATATCTTTATTTAATTATGTATATCAACTGATATAAACTGATATATCAGATGGACTACTAGGGATTCATTGATTTTTCTATCAGAGATTCATCTGAATTTTTAATTATGAGTTTGAGTTTCTCGTTTTAAAAAATTCGGGGTTTCGCATGACGGATGATCATTCATGTTTCAACGAAT